AGCTGATCAGAGGTGGGTCACAAGGGCCCTAATGGCAGCCACCTCCAGGTTCTTCCCTAGATGTGGTTCTGTGGGGATCCTGGAGTTGCCTCCATGTTTGTCTATTGTTCCCCAGGAAATTCCTATGGACAAAGATGCAGGCCTGGGTTGTTGTGCTTGCATTTTTCTGAGTTTAACACCCACATCCAGAACTTTGAAATCTCTTTCCATAGGCAGCAACTGCATACTGAGCCTGAGTTTATCCAGCTGCATGTACTGGTGTTTCTATTCAGAATTCACTTTTCCCTCTGTGAGGTGTACAAATGTAAGAGCAGTGCAGAGTCCAGACCAGACTAGAGACCTGAGGGAGCTCAGAGACACCAGGGCCTCCATGGCATGGATTCATAGCAGTTATGCTATTTGTTCACCCATTGAAGCACATCCTGATTGCTTAAGGTATTGGGGCATTGTGAATAGAACTGCTATATGTAATTGCATGCTGTTATCTAGATATACATTTTTGAGGCAGTTGTCTATATTTTTAGGATCATGTGGTGGCACCTCTAACTTTGGGGAAAATGGCCAGTTTTTTTTATAGTGGTGAGCTGTTGTATGCTCTACCAGCAATGCACAAGAGTTCCTGTGGCTGCTCATCATCCTCTTGGTTGATACTACCCTTTAGTAAAGACCTTAGCACCTTAATAGTTGTGCAGTGCACCTTGGGGTTTGTGCTTTCCTCATGACAGGTGATACTAAGAGTCATTTCTATGCTTCTTTGCCATCTTGTATCTTTCTTGTGCATTGTATGTTCAGATCTTTACCCATTATGTTGTGTTATTGTTGAGTGTCTTACTATATTTTGTACACAAGTTTGTTTTAGACATATACCTTCCAAAGATTCCCCCGGTCTTTGACTTGTCTTTTTATTTCCTTAATATGATTTTTTTTTTTTACAGAGCAGTTTAATACAGTCCACATTATCAGGTTTTTCTTTCATGGATTTGTTGTTGTTATTGTTTGTTTGTTTGGTAGCAGGGATTGAACCCAGGGGTGCTTAACCACTGAGCCACATCCCCAGCTTTCATGGATTTTTTTTTTTTTGGGGGGGGCTGTATTTAGAACCTCATCATGAAACATGTGGTCATGCACATCTTCTAGAATTTTACAGTTTCCCATTTTAAATGCAAGTCTAGAGAGTATTTTGATAGGTTCTGGCGTCCATATGTGTGGCTTCTTGAAGTGTGTCCTTTTGCAGTCAGTGCTGTCTAGTCTAGGTTTAAAAACAGCTTGTTGGGAATTTCTGGAAAGCACTGAATCTTCAGTTCAGGTTTGAGATAATTTCATCTTAATTATCTTGAGACCTGAACAAAGTATATCTGCACTTATTTATATTTCATTTGATTTCTTTCTAAACATTTCAAGATTTTCTGAAAGAATGATTGTATTTTAAGACTTACATGAAAGTACTTCAAATTTGGGGTGCCTATTTTCAATATTAATGTTTTAAAATTTTTCTTATTCCAGTTTATAAATTTCACTATTTCCTCTACATGATTGCTGAAATCAATGAAATTTTATCTATGGGCCATGTATTTTGCTGCTTGCTATCTCCATCCATTCTGATCAAGACATAGGATGGTAGGCTCTATTTCTTTTTTATTTCCAAAATCATGACCTGGAATAGTCAGAACTACGAATTTTAGAGCTTCACTGTGCCTAGCACAAGAGGGTGCAGCTCTGAAGAGTGAATACCCAGCATCATGCACTGTCTACAGTGGCCAGCAGGGGGCACTCAGAACAACTTTCTCTGATCAGCTGCATTTGGGGGCTGTGTTCTGTGCCCTAATCAAACCTCCTTCTCCTGGGGACCCACCTGAGAGATGCCACATCTAGGGACTCCTAGGGGCTCTATCTAAGGTGTAGACCAATGTTATTATTATTATTTTTTAATCCTGGGGACACACCTAGAAAGATACCATGGCCTGGGGTATCTTCTCCTTGGCACCTACCCATGGAGACTCCACTGTGGATTCAGGATGATTGAGGTCCATGTGAGGAAAACATGAGGAAGAAACTTCCTGTGCACTGCCTGGTGTGCTGAGAAGGAAGTTCTGCCATGTTATTTAGTTTCTCAGGTAATATTTTAGCAGAACTTATTTACAACAGTATTTCTCACTGAGGCTTTGGCTGCTCATTATCATGGTATGTCAATGTATTTTGTGTGGCTTGAGTGTCTAAGGACACAAATGCCCCGTCAAGATGGTGCAGGGAGAGCCCAGTGCCTGGAGTCTCACTGGGGCCTGAGGGTAAGGGCTCATGAAAATGCAGTAAGAAGCTCTCAGGAGCCTCTAGGGTGAGAGATGTAAAGATTACAATAGTTTGCACTACCCTGAATCCTGGGTAACTGCAGTATCCTCATTGCAGTTATCAGAGCCTTATGCAGTGAGGGCAGCATGGGTCAAATGACAGACTGTACTACCCATAATTCTTGGGAACCTGCAGCTTGCATAGACCTCTGCAGAGAGGGCTGTACTGACAAAAAATTAAACTATGCTACCAATAACTTTTGGGTGCCTGCTCTGCCCAGGAGCTTCTGAGGTGAGAATTGCAAGGGCAGAATACCAGACTTCAATGCTCAGAATCTCTGGGATTGCCTACATATCCTGTAACCCTGTAAGTCCCAGAGGTTTCTATGGTGACAGTTGTATTAGTAGAACACACTACCTAGAATCTCCAGGGTACCAGGGAAAGCATGGGGTCTTCACCTTCTGTGATCCTCAGCAGGACTGTGCAGGCAAACCCTAGACTGCATTATCCAGAACCGTCAGGGACTGCAGCTCCCAGAATCCTCTGTGGTGAGTGTGAAAACAATTGAACTGCATTACCCACTATCCTAAGGGGGAATTTGAGTTTCAGAATTTTCTGCACTGAGTAGGAAAAACACAGGACTATATTACCCACAAATCTCAGTGCCAGCAGCTGTCAGGATCCTCTGTTGTGAGGACTATTGGACTGAGAGCTTAACTACAGTATCCAGAATCCTTGGTGGGGTGTGTTGCCCAGGTGAGTATGCAGACTGCAACTCCCAGAGGCCTCCCAAGTGAGAATTGTGCATTATGCAGGTCAGACTACAATACCTACGATTCCTGGGGACACACTGGTGAATGTGTTGCCTGCAATTCCAGGAGGCTTTCACAGTGAGGTCTTCAGTACCAAGGCAAGCATGTGGCCTTCAGTTTCATAGCCCTTGCAGTAGGGGCATGCAGGCAAAACAGTGTACTACCTTATCCAGAATCCTCAGGGGGAATTGCACTTCCCATGATATGGTATAGTGAGGGCTGCAGGGTAGGGAGATGAACTACACTACCTAGAATTCTTGGAAGTGCCCTGTGTCCATGTAGCCTGGAACTCTCAGAGGCTTCCACAGTGAGGGCTATGGAGGCAGGAGACAGGACTATGCTACCCAGAATCCCTGGGGGCCTGCAGCTCCCAGATACCTACCTTTTGAGTACTGCTGGGGCAAGCTTTGTATTGCACTACACAGACTCCCAGGGGTGTCTAGGCAGGCTTGTGCTACACAGATCCCAGAGCTTTGATGGTGAAGTCCACTTAGGTAGGATGGACTGCACAACCAAGAATAATCAATGGTCTACAGCTCTCAGAGACCTCTGCGGTCAGGGCTGACTGAGTAGAACTGACAACCATACTCAGAATTCCTGGGGGCTCTGAGCTCTAAGTAGTCACTGTGGAGTTGAACATAGCACCAGGCTATAATACCCATGATCCTTGGGGGCTTGCAGCTCCAAGAATCCACTGTAGTGATGGCTGCATTGGCAGAACACCAGACTACACTGTCCAGAATCCCTAGGAATGCCTGAATGACTGTGTAGCCTGCAATTTCTAGACACTTCTGGGAGGGAGGCTGCATTTTAGAATAGATTACACTGCCCAGAATCCTGGGTGGGTGTATGAGGGTTAAAGTGCTACTTGAAGCCCCCATAGGCTTCTGGAGTGAGCACTGAATGGGCAGAATGCCAGACTACACTGTTCAGAATCACTAGGGGTGCCTGAGTAGCCTGCAGCTCACAGAGACCTCTGCAGCTGGGCTGCATTGTAGAATACAAGACTGCACTACCCAGAATCCTGGGGGTATGAAGGTAAATGTGCTACTTGTAGCCCCTAGGCTTCTGGGGTGAGGGTTGCATGGGTAGAACACCAGAGTCCACTGCCAGGGTCCTCCAGGGTGCCTGGGCCAGCACATGGCAAATAGCTTCCATGGTCCTGAAGGGCAAAGACTATGTGGGCAGAACACCAGACTACACTGTCCAGAATCCCTCAGAACCCTGAATCTGTGTAGCCTGCAGCTCCCAGAGGCATCTATGGTGAGAGCTGGACAGGCAGGACAGACTGAATGACCTAGAATGCTCTCAGAGGCTACTGGGAATTTGGTCTGAGCTCAGGTTCTTCTACCCTCCTACAGTGGTCACCCTGGGCTAGGAATTAACAGAGTTTCTTAAAATCCCTGATTCTAAAATGGGGCAGACCCTGGCTAAGTCACTCTGTCTCAAAGACTACATGTCCCAGAAGCCTTTGTGGTGGTCTGTTTCTGGCTTCTGCCCTTGGGTACCTGAGTGAGGGTCTAGACTCCCTGTGGTGGCCTCCCTCTGTTCCTCTGCCCACCTGGCTCAGGCTGCTGCAGCACTTGGCCTGGTGGAGTGCAGGGAGGGGGTCTCCTGGACTCCATTTCTCCTCTCCTGAGATTCCACTCCTCATTGTGCCATAGCCAGACCAAGTTACAGCAGTGGGAACATATTTTATTCAGTAACTGCTGAGGGTGAAAGAATGTGCTGACATTCACCAAGGAGCTGGGAGAGGCCCCACCTGTGAGCCAGGAGCAGCTCGTGCACATGCGCATGTGGCCAAAGGGGCGTGGTTAAGAAGGGGCGGGACCTCACCGCCATCTTTAATGCTGCCTCCCTGAGAGTGAGGAGAGCTGGCTTCCCATTCAGGGCCAACCCGGGAGAGCCCCAGCTTACTGGAATGTTGGGTCACTCCACAGAGAGGGGCAGAGCTCCCTTCTCAGAGCAATTGAGAGAGACACCCAGGTTGGGGACTCTCGTGGGTCATGCCTCCAGGGACTCTCGGAGCTCCCTTCTCCTCAGAGCAACCTCAGCGGACTCTTGGCTTAGAGACTTCGTGAGTCAAGGCTCTAGGAATGCCTGGGGTTCCTTTGTCCTCAGAGTAGCTTGAGGGGGACGCCTGTCTTGGGGACCCTCATGTGGCACGTTTCTAGGGTTTCCAGGATTTCCTGAGGGAGATGCCAGGGTTGGGGACCCTCATTCTCATGTCTCTTAGTAGGCCTGGGGTTCCCTTCTCAGAGCGGCCTGGAGGAGACGCCAGTGTGCGACTCTCTTGGGTCATGTCTCTAGGGACGCCTGGGGTTCCCTTGTCTTCAGAGTTGTCTGAGGAAGACTCCTGGTGTGGGGAGCCTCATGGGTCATGTCTGTAGGGATGCCCAGGGTTCCGTTCTCCTAGAGTAGCCTGAGGGAGATGCCTGGTGTGGGGCAACCCTATTTTGTATTATAGAGATAGGGTTTCACTGAGTTGCTTCATGCCTTGCTTTTTGCTCAGGCTGGTTTTGAACTCAAGATTCTTCTGCCTCATCCTTCTGAGCCGCTTAAATTTAAATATATCACTTCTAACAAAGCCAGAATTTATTAAAAATACATTCAATTTTTTTATGGAACTGAACTCATGAACTACATTTTTCTCTTTCTTTATCCTTTGCTTAGTTTTTTAAAATTCTTTTTTAGTTGTAGAAGGGCACAATACATTTATTTTATTTATTTATTTTTATGTGGTGCTGAGGATCAAACCCTGCCTCACACATGCTAGGCAAGCACTCTACCACTGAGCTACCACAGCCAACCTTTTTCTTTTGGTGGAGAGTTTAATTAGCAAGAAGCCACCCCTCCAGGACCCTTCCCCTAAGGCCTCCCCCTCCAGACCCCACCAATATTCTATGGCTCTGCACATCCTCCTGAACCACCCTTGCCCCTTTTTCCTACCCTGCCTCTCCTCTAGGTCCTACTCATGTTCTAGGACCTGCCCCCTCCTTCAGGTCCCACCCATCTGCCAGGCCCTGCCCCCTTGTGACCCATTCTCCCCCTCCTTCAGACCCTGCCTCTCCTCCAGACCTTTCCCTTCTTCCTGTCCTGCACCTCCTCCAGACCTCACCCTCCTCCTTTTATTTTTATTTTTTTTTAATTGCACATGGACACAATGCCTTTATTTTGTTTATTTATTATTATGTGGTGCTGAATATTGAACCCAGTGCCTCAACATGCTAGGCAAGTGCTCTACCACTGAGCCATAAACCCAGCCCAACCCTCCTCCTCTTTAAGTCCCTGCCTCTTCTCCAGAACCCACCCATCTTCCAGGCCCCCTCATCCTCCTCCTGACCTTCCTTCCCCCTCCTCCAGACTCTGCCCCTGCTAGTCTAGGATGAGCAGCTCCTGGCTGCTGTGCTAATTGGCAGTATATTTGTAATTGTGCACAAATAATGTCTGTTGTACAAACACATCCTGCATTGGATGAATTATCTTGACTATATCAGAATTTGATATGCCATAAAATAAATTTAGAAAAATCACCTTTCTCTCTTTCTTTTTTTCTTTATAGATCATGGACATTTGAAATAAAACCAGAATTTGTTAAAGGGCAGATGACAGCCAGCCTTGAGCCCTGATGATCCCAGGATCCCATCCAGTGGGAGGACTCTAAGTACCAGTCCAAGGTTTTGTATACTAATTGATTCATTTAGTTTTCTTATTTTAGAGTTATTTTACTATGTAATTCCTCATGGCCTCAAGTCTGTGCAGTAGGTTTTTCCTATTCAATTTTTATTTAATATTCTTTCAGTTTTCTACATAATTTTTAAAATATTTTTTTTAGTTGTCAGTGGATCTTTTTATTTTATTTATTTATTTTGTTTATATGTGGTGCTGAGGATTGAACCCAGGGCCTAACACATGCCAGGCAAATGCTCTGCCTTTGTGCCACAACTGTAGCCCTGTATAGAATTTTTAATTCTGTGAACTTCTATTTTTTTATAAGGAATATTTTAAAAATTACTTTTAGCTTACTTTGTTTTTGATTGAGAGAATTGGCTTGTTTGAGAGAATTGTATTGTTTGGAAATGCTCATAATCAAATGATTTTAATTAATTTCCACTTATTAAGGTATCTTTGGAGACCGGATGTGTAGCTCAGTGGCAGAGCACTTGCCTGGCATGTGAGAGGCCATGGAGTCCATCCCAGGACCATACACACAGAAGATGTCTTTGACAGGACTCAAGCATGAGAGGTATGCTTTAAAAAGATCATGTATTGGGGCTGGGGTTGTGGCTCAGTAGTAGAGCACTCACCTAGCTCGTTCGAGGCCCTGAGTTCAATCCTCAGCACCACATAAAAATAAGAAAATAAAACAAAGGCATTGTGTCCAACTACAACTAAAAATAAATAAAATTTTTTTAAAAAGGTCATGTATTTACACATACATACATATACCACAGTGCCTCTTCCAAATTCATATGAAATTATTCTAAGAAAATTTCAAATCAGTTTTAAAAGAGAAGAGGGATGATGATATTTTTAATATCAACTATTGATATTTCATGATATTTATAACCACTATAGATGAAATCTCCAGAGATGCAAATCATTACAAAATGTAAGAGACAAGTCAGTGGCTGCTTTTTTGTAATTCAGATACATTTACTAAAAATAAGCTTTTTAAAAAACAGATATTTTCTTCTTTTCAAATTTAGAAAGAATTTCCATATGTCCTATTAAAGTTTTATATTCATCAGAAAGTTCTCTTATTCCTTGCATTCAAAGGGATGGTCCTTCTAATGAGCATGATACTTTTTGTTGTCAGGAATTCTTGTGCGAGAACTCTTTAAGTGTTTTGCCTTTGTTCAAAATATCATTTTGATATTGCTTTTGATTTCAGAAATTTGTCTTTCTTTTGAAATTATGTATGTATTAATATTTAGGGTTATTTCATTTGGGAAATGCCATGATTTCATTTTATCCTAATGTTGGTGACCCTATGTGCTTATAAGGTGGCTTTCAGAATGCACTTGAGTATCTTTCTCATATTTGTTGGATTCATTAGAAAAGTACATCCACTTTTGATCATATTTAATGGTTATGTTTGAATTATTAGAAGCAGAAATCAGACATGTTAGTATTGTGAGCTGAACAAAGTGCAGGTTTACTTTAATTATTTTGAGGAGGTTGACATAATAGCTACTGCCCTGTTCTGAACCTGCCATAGTTGTCTCACCTGGAATTTTTTTTTTTTGGCACTGGGGATTAAACCCAGGGCCTTGCATGTGCTATGCAAGCCCTGAGCTACATATGTCCCCAGTCCTCATTACAATTTCATTTTGATACAGGGTCTAGCTGAATTGCTAATGTTAGCCTCAAATTTGTGATCCTTCTGCTTTATCCTCCCAAATAGCTGAGATGAGAGGTATGTGTCAAAGTGTCTGGCTTGTCCTGGAGGATTTTGATGTCAGTATCACTTGTTTCCAGTGTGTTAATAATTTCCTAAGCTAGATTATGTTCATTTTTCTTATCTACAGTCAATAAAGCCTTTTTGTTGTTTTGATGGTATGCTTAATGTGAACATGCTTTATGATGTGACACCACCATTCATGATGGTCTAGGTATGCAATACACTATAAGGAGAGTATTTTGATTCTGAGAGTCTCAAGTGTTTTAGGTCCAACATGTTTCCTTAAGAGGAATGATTATTCATTTTCTATTTGATTACACAAATAAGACACAAATTCTTTTTTTTCCTTTTGTGGTTCTGGGGATTGGTCCTAGGGCCTCCTGCATGCTAGGAAATCTTTCTACCACTTAGCTACATCCCAAGCCCCATAGATCCTTTAGTTGTCATTAGCTTCATGATGAGCTAGTGACAATAAAATTACTTAGAATTTCAACTAGATTTAGACTCATGCAAGAGTTTGGACATCCATAACTCCTTGTGATTTCTAAAAGGTAGAGTGTTTTCCCACATCACAGCAGCATCTATTATCACTCCTGGACTGAGCTGACACCTTTGCTTCTCTTGGCTCACCACTTCCTGTAGAGGTGTTTGAGGAGATGACTATTTCTTTGACTATTTGTCCCAGTGACAAATATTTGAGTATATTGCTGCTAAAAGGTATGCATAGAAATAAAATAGAGACCAGGATTCTTTGGGATAAGTGATTCAGTCACAGTGAGTCAATTTGTATTAGGACTTTTTTAAAAATAAAGTCATTCTTTAGGGAAAGTTAAACCATGAGTTGAAATAGAATCTCTAAAATGACATTTTTCCCCCTCTAATGATCAAGTTTTAAGAAGACAAACCTAGAACCTAGTGACAGCATAAAAATATAATAAGTTAACATATGTTATTACTTCAACATGAAATATGTAAAAGAGCCACATACTTTCAATTTTATATGAGTTTGAACTATTTGATTTTTGTGTTATAAATATTCCTAATAAAATACAGAAGTAGCCAAGAGTGTCGGTTACCAGTAATTAACTGTATGAATAATTAAACAAGTAGGTGTTTGAGAAAATATAACCATGTCCTAAGATTTTACTTTAGAGTAGTTTAATCTTTTTTTTTTTTTAGTGTGGGGGTACTGGGGATTGAATCCAGGGGCACTTAATCACTGAGCCACATCCCCAGCCCTTTTTTTGTATTTTATTTAGAGGCAGGGTCTCACAGAGTTACTTAGGGCCTCACTAAGTTGCTGAGGCTGAGTTTGAACTTGAAATCATCCTGCCTCAGCCCCCAAGACACTGGGATTAAAGGCATGTTCCACCATGCCAGGCTTAGTTTTATCTTTATACAGAAATTGAAAAGAAAGTGCAGAGATTTCCCAGGTAGCCTCAACCTGGTTTCTTCCCTTGTTATGATTTAGGTGAGCTGTCTCTAAAGTGTTAACATCTTAGACCATTTGTCATGAAGAAAAAATACTGGTATGTTACAATTAACTGAAATCATATGTCCTTTGGATTCTCAGTTCTGTGTCTTCCTGTTCTAGGATACCATTTAGGAGCCAAGATGACATCCAGTCATCATGTCTCCATAGACTTCTCTTGGGGTGACAGTTTCTATGAACTTCCTTGTTCTGATGACCTTGACAGTATTGAGGAGGACTTATCAGGTATTTTTTAGATTGTTCTCCATTGAATTTTCCTTTTTTTTTCATATTTAAAGTGGGACTGTGGGTCTGGGGGAGGCATGTCACAGAGGTTGAGAACTGCTCTGTCATCTCTTGTCCTTATTGTCATATTAGTATTGACTGTGCTCACCTGGCTGAGGCAGTGCCTTTCAGGTTTCCTTGTTTTTCTCCTATTTAGCCCAGGGCTATTGGACTGGGGGAAGCTGGTCACTGAGATGAAAAGCAGCTCTATCATCTCATGTCCTCAAGGTGAAATGTTAGTATTGATTGTGCTCACCTGTTTGAGAAAGGGCCTTTCATGTTTCTTACTGTGAAGTTACTCTTTTTTGCATGTCCACATTGTCTGTTCTTCTGGAGGAAGTAACAATGCAGAGCCCACACTTAGGCATCAGAGAGTTAGCTCTACCTCCTTGATGGCTGTGTCTTTCTCAATTATATGGAACTCTTCTGCACAAGAGGTTTCTACTCAACCTCATTTGTTTGTGTATTCAGTCATTTATTTATACCAGTCATCTGGATAGTTCCCTTAAGCTGTTTTTTTTTTTTTTAAAGAGAGAGTGAGGAAAGAGAGAGAGAGAGAGACTTTTAATATTTTTTTATTTTTTAGTTTTCGGCAGACACAACATCCTTGTTTGTATGTGGTGCTGAGGATCGAACCCGGGCTGCACGCATGCCAGACAGGCATGCTACTGCTTGAGCCACATCCCCAGCCCCTTAAGCTGTTTTTTGTTCTTTTTTTTTTAAATAGTACTTTGCTGCTCAATTCATCCCTATTTTAACCATTGGGAATTCTTTCCATTGGAGATATTTCCATTATCTCTTGTTGTCTTTTAACATATTTTCTGGTTTTATTCCAAAGTTTTTTCTTTCTGATATTTAAATTACCATGACTTATATATTTACTGTCTTACTCTTAGTATCAGCCATTTCTTTAAAGAGTCCTGGATCCTTTGATTAGAGAGTGATATTAAAATCTTTCATCTGGCAGGGGCTGGGGTTGTGTCTCAGTGGTAGTGCACTCATCTGGCATGTGTGAGGCACTGGGTTCAATCCTCAGCACCACATAAAAATAAACAAATAAAATAAAGGTCTTTAAAAAGTCTATAAAAATATTTCATCTTGCATCTTGATACACACAACTGACAATGCAAAGAAGTGTATGTGTATTCTAATCTTTTTATATCCCCTAGTTATAACTATGTTTATGTGGAACCATCTGTGAATGTATTAAGCAAAATGTGAGTGTATACTGATCTGCAGTCAGTGGATTTTGACCCCTTATGACATAGATCCCTCTGCCTTCACCCCTTGTTTATCGTAACTTCTCACCCCATCTAGCTCCCAGTTTCTGCCATATAATTAATTCATTGTTCCATTATGAGCAATGAATTCATTATTGCTCCAGCTTATGGACTGTGACATAATAAGAAATACACATTCAGCCTCTGCACCCAGTTCCTGGTTCAGCACTCCTAAAATCTTCATATTTGCTGAGTGACTGAGGTGTTAGGAACATCTTTTGTTCTAATATTGATTCTTTTACCTTGGTTATTTGCACAGAGCTCCTAAGTCCTGCAGAATCTCCTGTGGGCCTAGGAGGGGCTTGTGCTTTAATAAGGACTTTTGGTGGGCACTAGGACAGCTTCAGGATGGAGGATGGTCATGAGAAAAACCACAGGAAGGGTGGTACACCCCAACTCCATGTAGATGGAGACTCCCATGCTGGGAGATTCCTGGGCTTCATCCTGCACAACTCTTCCTCTGTAATTTGGTCTTTTCTAGAATGTCATAAAAGATAAACCATACGGTATGTAGTCTCTTCAGCCTGGCTTATTTCACTTAGCAGTATACCAGGTAGGATTTATCTATGTCTCTGTGTAGGGTGGTAGTTCATTCCTTTATATTCTGTGTTGGTTATGCATTCAGCTATGGGAGGATGTTCTTATTTATGATCTGATCAGCATCATAGAGCTGCTATGCATAATTACATACTAGTTTTGTTTTGACATAGTTTTTCAAAGGATTTCTCTAAATGAAGATAATTTATAGGGACACTGTTGGGTCATAGATTGGATTTTTCTGCTTTGGGAAGAACTGGCACATCATCTTCCAAAGTGGCCATGCCATATGTTCTTCTAGTAATGCCTGAGACTGCTGGTATCACGTCCTGCAGCTGTTGGTGCACTGCTGTTTCTTAGAGATCAGCAGTTCTAATAGCTGTGCCATACTACCTCACTATTGTTTTAATTTATGATTCCCTGATGATATGGGATGCTGAACATCATTTTGTATAACTATTTGCCATGTTTTACAGAGTAGGAAAAAAAATGTGTGTGTGTGTGTATGTGTGTGTAGTGCTGGGGATTGAACCCCAGACCTCGCATAAACTAGGCAAGTGCTCTACCATTGAGCTGTATCCCACCCTTTAAAAATTTTCCTAGGCTGGGCTCAAGTTTGCAATCTTCCTGCCCCAGCCTTTTGAGTAATTGGGATTGTTGGCCTGCAACAGTGCACTTTGTAAAAATTGAACTTTATAAAGTCCATGTTATTGGTATTTTTTTTCAGTCAGTTGGTATTTGGTATTTTGTGTTAAAACTCATCATCAAGGACTGGGGAAGTAGCTCAGTATTAGAAAGTTTGTATAGCATGTGTGAGGCCCTGCATTCAGTCCCTTGTACCAGAAACAAATATACACTACCATCACTAAATCTAAGATCACATAGATTTTCTTATTTCTTTCCAGATTTCTTTTAGTTTTACCAATTTTTGTTATGGACTATTATGAGTTAATTTTTGTAGGAGTTTCTGTTTTTGTCTACATTCATTTCACTCAATATGGTTTGAATAACCTGTTCAATCACCATTTTTTTAAAAAAAACAAGGATACTGGGTTTCATTTTAGTTTGAATTTCCAAAATCATGGCCTTGAGTAATCTAGATATAGTACTGAATTTCATCCATTTCTCAGGAATGTCAGGGGGTGGCCATACACCACTGAGTTGAAGCATTTTGTGCTTGGTCCTAATGATCACCAGAGGGTATGTGCCACCTTCCTGGATGTGGCAGTGTCATAATACTTTTATGGTGGAGTGATAATGCTAACATGTTGTCCATGTGCAGCCTCTAATGCTAATGTATTATCCATAGTAGCCTTTGATGTTATTGTGTCCACATGTGGCCTCTGATACAAATATAGTATCCATAGAGTGGACTTGAGCACTAATAAAAGAGCTTCCATATTAATATAATGTCTACATCATGGCCTCTAATACTAAAATAATATTCACAATATGGCATCAAAAACTAATATAATAGCTGCCCTGTGGTCTCTAATCCAAATATAATATACATACTATAACTTCTAAAACAAAGTAGTATCTCCCTATGATCTTTAATACTAATATGATATCCATAGTGTAGCACCTAAGGCTAATATAATAGCTGCCCTGTGTCCTTTCATGTTCTTATGGTATCCATAGATATTGTGGTTTAGATATGAGTTGTCCTTTAAAAAACTCATATGTGAGCCAATGAGAGAAAGTTTAGATGTGTAATGACTGGATCCTGAGAGCATTAACCTACATCAGTGAAACCTAATGAAAGCATTAACCTAATTATCCACTGACTGGGATTAAGTGGGTGGTAGCTGTAGGATATAAAGATAAAGATTAGGGTATAAAGATAAAGATTATGATGGCTCAAAACATGGGATGATGGCCTCTATTTAGCTAAAATATGCAAACATATGTTGAATAACCAGAACAGTGAATTTCTGAGGTTATGCATCAGGACTAGGTAGTGGCACAACTCTCTGCAACACTAAACAAGCTAATCAATCAATAGAACCCAAGCTCAGGGTGCATTTGCAACCTGAGGAAAGAGATGAAATTAAAATCGGGATGGGGGTATGAAGATGTAGCATAATGTCCTTTAAGCTAATCAGAGGTGGGTCACAGGGGCCCTAATGGCAGCTTCCTCCAGGTTCTCCCCTAGATGTGGTTCTGTGGGGATCCTGGAGTTGCCTCCATGTTTGCCTGTTGTTCCCAGGAAGTTCCTATTGACAAAGATGCAGGCCTGGATTGTTGTGCTTGCATTTTTCTGAGTTTACCACCACATACAGAACTTTTTAATCTCTTTCCATAGGCAGTAACTGCATACTGAGCCTGAGTTTATCAGCTGCATATACAGGTGTTTCTATTCAGAATTCACTTTTCCCTCTGTGAGGTGTGAAAAGGTAAAGGCAGTCCAGGGTCCAGACCAGACTAGAGACTGGAGGGAGCTCAGAGACACCAGGGCCTCCATGGCATGGATTCATAGCAGTTATGCTATTTGTTCACCCATTGAAGCACATCCTGATTGCTTAAGGTATTGGGGCATTGTGAATAGAACTACTATATGTAATGGCGTGCTGTTATCTAGATATACATTTTTGAGGCAGTTGTCTATATTTTTAGGATCATGTGTTGACACCATGTCTAACTTTGGGGAAAATGGCCAGTTTTTTTTGATAGTGGTGAGCTGTTGTGTGCTCTACCAGCAATGCACAAGAGTTCTTGTGGCTGCTCATCATCCTCATGGTTGATACTACACTTTAGTAAAGACCTTAGCAGCTTAATAGTTGTGCAGTGCATCTTGGGATTTGTGCTTTCCTCATGACAGGTGATACTAAGAGTCATTTCTATGCTTCTTTGCCATCTTGTATCTTTCTTGTGCATTGTATGTTCAGATCTTTACCCACTATGTTGTCTTATTGTTGAGTGTCTTACTATATTTTGTGCACAAGTTTGTTTTAGACATATACCTCCCAAAGATTCCCCCGGTCTTTGACTTGTCTTTTTATTTCCTTAATATGATTTTTTTTTTACAGAACAGTTTAATACAGTCCACATTATCAGGTTTTTCTTTCATGGATTTGTTGTTGTTATTGTTTGTTTATTTGGTAGCAGGGATTGAACCCAGGGGTGCTTAACCA